AAACAAATTATATATTTGCATTCGTGGGGTTATGGGTGATCGGGTTTTGGTCCTAGCCTAGAGTTTGGACCATGTGGGCCCGGTGTCTAATTTTGGTATTTTTGGAATAATGCTAGAAATTCATATCTAGGCTATGAGAAATTGCCATTGAGTCTTTATTGATATTGTTGAATTAATTATGCCTAGATATCCCTGTATTGTAAGTGGAATCACGAGGTAAAGCGATAGTTGAGGATTAAGTGGATTTCAAGGCTTTGAGGTAAGTGTTTGGTTTAACCCTAGCTTGAGGGAATAGGAGTTGAGTCTTGTTGCTAATTGCTATGTGATCGAGTACGATGTATAGGCATGGTGACGAGTATCTATACATTGGTGTCTAGCATGACCGTGAGTCCTTATAATGTGATTATCATGATTTGGTTGTGAACTCCGTGTTTATTGGAATATGTTGTGAATAGCATGTGAACGGTAATATGATCATTTGATTTTCCTGGGAGCATAGGCTCGAATTGTGATACGAATATTAAAATCATACGAAATGACTTGATTCTTCGGAGCGTTGGCTCAAAATAGTAGAGTGAATTATAAGATAAGAAAAGTAAGAAAGAGAAAGCGTTGTTGGTTATTCCCTTGCCGGGATGTTTGTCAGATATTTATTTATTTTTATGCCCCTTAATTGTGACTGTTGTTTGGGGAGTCGGACTGTTAAATGATACTGAGGATCGGGTTGCGCGCCGCAACAATGATATTAAGGATCGGGTTGCGCGCCGCAACAATGATACATGATAAATGATATTGAGGATCGGGTTGCACGCCGCAACAATGATACATGATAAATGATATTGAGGATCGGGTTGCGCGCCGCAACAATGATACATGATAAATGATATGGGTCGGGTTGCACGCCGCAACAGTGGTATTTGCTGAGCGGGTTGCACGCCGCAACAATAGAAATTATGGAGCGGGTTGCACGCCGCAACAGTTATTGAGGCTATGTGTTTGTATTTGAGTTAAGCTGTTTTAGTTGTTACTCTAGATTGCGTGTATCTCCCCTTAGCATGTCTCCCTCCTCTTGTTGTTAATTACTTGACATTCGATTCCCGCTGTATATTTATAACTGCACAGGTTTATGTGATGTCCAGTCTAGCCTCATCACTACTTCGCCGGGGTTAGGCTAGACACTTACCAGCACATGGGGTCGGTTGTGCTGATGCTACACTTCTGTGCATTTTTGCACAGGTCCAGGTTTTGAGGAACAGCAGCAGCAGTAGTTCGGAAGCAGGCGATTCATATTCACGAGACTGAGGTAGCCTTGCAGGCGTCCGCAGGCCCGGCGTCTCTTCTCATTGTTTTCTTTTAGACTGTTTCCTCATTGTTTTCGAGACAGACAGCTGTTATATTTCTTTCAGACCTTTGTATTTAGTTTATTCTTAGTGGTTCGTGAGTAATGTGACACCAAATCTTGGGTAGAGGTTGTTTTTGACTATTCCGCGTTTTAAATTCATCATTTTAAGACAGACTTCCGCTATTGTTCTTATTAGACTTTATGTTCTATATTGATGTTATAAACTGTTAAAGATAATTGCTAGTGATGGAAAGGTAATTAAGTTGGCTTGCCTAGCTACCACGAGTAGGCGCCATCACGACTCTGATGGTGGGAAATCCGGGTCGTGACAATACTTTTGTAAGCTAGCTTTTACAGTCCCTGCTTTTGTTAATTTCGGAACTACTGGTAGTACTTGAAATAAAATACCTCCCAAATTATTAATTTTCCACCAAACGGTTCATTAGTATCCGATATATCTCTAGAACTCTGGAAAATTATTTTGATCGTTTGACACTTAGCCATAAGTACTTCATCCGATATTACCAATTTTGCTTTCCCTATAAATTTAGCAGCATTGTTCTGCTTTGATATATTTGTGATTGTTATTTAAGTTGTTTGAAGAAGTATATCAAATTTAAAGTGGGTGGCCTCATAATAAGCCCGTTATTGGTATGCCACTTGCTATTATTACTAATATTGTCATGCCCTAGATATGATATTTGCAAGTAATGCATAACATAGAAATATTATTTCGATTCCGCCTGAGGCATCTACAAAGAATAATCCCGTTATGGCAGAATTGACTCCTTATAGTATAGTCTTGAAAGCTTGTTCTTGTTTAGGATTTAGCTTTGATGGTGCTTTCTCTGACACTTATATAGCATTTTGATTCTTAATAATATACTAACATTTTTACTTTGTGTTCTAACGCTCTTTATATGTAATAAATTTATGTACCCTAAGAGTTTTTTTTACTTGAATAAGAATTTTACTCATATGATGAATTTAAAAAATAATTGAATTGAATTCTCTTGCTAAATAATTAACTAAAAGATATAATTATTTGGTTCAACAAAAGTTCAAACAAATCTTCTCTTTTTACAAGAAAAGAAAGTGCCTCAAATGAAAAAAGTTATACTTCTGGCCTCAAATGTAAAAAGTTTCAACTGACAAGATCTATAAAGTAAGAACAGACTCAATATTCAGTGTCTATTGGAAATCACTATATATGCCTATAATCTTAAGTATATTTGAACTACAACGATGAGAAGTGTTAGTGTACAAAAGTATTGCTAAAATATTGAATTTATCTATTTTGTAATAGTGTTTCAGTTGTTTAGACTCCTTAAGGACTTCGAAATCATTAAAAAAATTGCACACTTGGTTAACTTAATATTAATATATTTATGTATCCTAAAAGTAATATGATTACATGACTAAAGATATTTACTTGTTCAATTTTATATGAATTAGATTGTCCGAAAGTAATTATACTAATAGGATTCCTAAAGGTAATCATGTAGGATTCCTAATATGTAGTATTATGTCTTAAAACTAATAGGATTATAAGGCTAATATCTAAAATTCTGGTTATGTCCTTTTATTATAAGTTATTATCCTTAATATTATAAGGTTATTTTTGTAAACTGACATTGTATTCATTCTTTTATGATAATATAGATATAGATAGATAGATAGATAGATAGATAGATAGATAGATAGATAGATAGATAGATAGATAGATAGATATAGATGGATAAATTTCATCAAACACCTTAAAGATCCTATGAATTTCACGAGTTTTGCTTTTTTACTTGTCATTCTTTAATTTAATACTTAATTATGCACACCAATTAAAGCTATATCTTCTTAGAAAAGGATCTTATGACGACTTTTATCCCGGTCCCTACGTCATAAAGAAGCTATCTTTGATGAATACTTTAATTTGTTTAATACTTCCCAATAATTTGCTTCAAGTACTAGTTGTGTTACAAAGCATGGAGATTGTCTTGTAATTTATTGAAGTATATAGTTTCTATAAATATATCATAAATCCCACAATAATTGCATATTAATTTGAGGTGACGATAAAAATCCATAAACTTAAAATTTTGAATCCTCCTCTGTTAGAGGGACGAATCGATCTTTAATAAGAGGGTCAAGTTGTTGTAATTCAATATAGAAGGAGAATATATTGCTACGAAGAAGATGAAGTACACTCTTCATAGTTTGACAAACACACATAGTATCATCAAAAGTGACCAAGTACATGTAATACTTCTTGACACGTCTAATGATCTGAAAATACCAATTGATCTTCTAGTCAATTATCGTTTCTCATGAAAAAGAACATAAATGAGGAGAAAGAGATGGAAAGTAATCCACCTTGGGGAAACTACTCAGAATTTTTCTGCTGAAAAAGATGTACATAGAAAAGTCATCTCCACCCCTTGTGTGACGGATAACAGAAACTAGTAAAACAAGCTTAAGAATCAGCGAAACTAAATCTAAAAGCTCTAAAGCAGAGCTCCAAACTATCAGCAAGACTACCTAAAGATGGGCTACCTTTCAAGTAACTCTAAAACGAACAATACAAAATGATCTAAATAAATATACAGGATGCCGCTTGACTTAACAGAGAGCACCCTATTGGTGTTGCAGTTGTTCAACTAAAATTCTATTGATGAACGGTGACATAGCAGCTAACAATTCCTTCGGACATTCCAAGATCACTTAGAGTGATTTTTCAAGATCTCTTTACTCTACCTAGTTCTTCCTAAAGTTGTTTGTTTTTTTCAAGCTCAGCACACAGATTAAACTGCACTAAATTTAGCTCATTTTCAAGCTTAATGTGTGCCTCGCTTGCAACTTCCTTTCCTTTTTGATAATTTTCAGCCCTACTTTCCATTGTAGGTTTCCCAATGATTTCCTTCAAGTTCATTATTACCACTAGAAGGTCATCTCTTTCTTGTTCTACATTTTCAATTATTTTCTTTAAGACATTTCTTTCTTTCTTCAGGTTCTCAATTGACTCTCTTAGATCAACTGCAATTATTACTAGGTCATCTCTAGACTGTTCTGTTTCTCCTAATTCAACTGCTAAGACATCTCTGTCATTTATAAGACTATGATAAGCGTCGATTAGCACATTTGCCAAAGACATGAGTTTTATAGGAGAATAAGATTTCAGATTTCTTTGAACATCCAGAAAATTTACCTCTTCATCATCAAACTGAGCCATCAAAGCAAAAATTGAATCATACTCGGTTGCTTCACTTTCTACTGCCATCATAGAGCTGTTACCTGGTTCATCATCTCCAGATTCGCTTGATGAATCTCCCCATGCAGCAAGAGCTTATCTCACGACATTGTCAGCGGCGTTTTTTCTATTGAAGCATCTATCATGAACCAGGTTCCTTTTGGCTGCTTTGTCAGAGTTGTTCTTGTACTGATCCTGCTTTAGGAGAGGGCAATCCTTGATGAAATATCCTGGCTTGCCACATTTATGACAGAGGTCATAATTCTTTGGCTTGCTAGAACTTCCCCTTTTTGGAATGCCTCCATTCCTGCGAACCATCTTCAGGAATCTTCTTGTTAGGTATGTCATATCACCATCTTCACCACTTGACTCGTTGTTTTCTGTCTTGAGGACCAGGTTATTCTCCTTCTTGGGCTCTCATCTTTCACTCTCTTTCTTCTTCTTCATTTTATATGTTTTTAGATTGCCAACAAACTCATCAATAATTAGCTCCTGCAAGTCCTTCGCCTCTGTAATGGTGTTCACTTTGCTTTCCCAAGAATTGGGTAGCATGCTTAGGATCTTTCTAACCAGCTTGTTTCTTGGAATAGTTTCACAAAGGGAGTGAAGCTCATTAATGATGGAGGTGAATCGGGTATGCATTTCTTGGACAGATTCATCGTCTTGCATCCTGAAGAGCTCGTATTCAGTTGTGAGCATGTTAATTTTGGATTGCTTGACCTGTGTTGTTCCTTCGTGAGCTGTCTGAAGGGCTTCCCAGATTTCTTTGGCTGACTGACATGCTGATATCCTGTTGTATTCATCAGGTCCAATACCACACACCAGAATTTTCTTAGCACGAAAGTTCTTCTCTATGGCCTTTCTATCTGCATCATTGAATTCTTTCCTTGTCTTGGGAATGGCTATTGGTGGGTCACCAAGGTTTTTGGTAGGAACATATGGTCCATCACATATGACATCCCATAGCTTAGAATCTTCAGCCATGATGAAGTCATGCATTCTAGTTTTCCACCATCCATAATACTGTCCATTGAACCTAGGTGGTCTGTAAGTAGACTGGCCTTCTTCGAAGTTTGGAGGAGCAGCCATGAGGATCCTTTCTAGGTGTTAACCTGATAGAAAGTACCCGCTCTGATACCAATTGAGAGAATATAAGGGTCCACCAAACTCTATAGAGGACCAGGTTCTCTATCAGGTCCAACAGTACACACACACACACCAGTAATTAAATGGCAAGAGGAATTTTACGTGGAAAATTCCCTGCTCAACGGGATTAAAACCCACGACCTACCCTTGTAGGATTTCAACTTCACTACTGAGCAACTTTTAGATTACAACCTATGCAACCTAGGAATTAACCTCTTAATCCCACACTAACTTGTAATACTCTATTACAAGACACTTTGTAATAACTCTACTACAAAGACTTTACAACATGACTAACTCTAGCCAAGACTCAAACACACTAGTTTAAGGTTTACTGGTTCCTATAGAATGCTTCTAAATAATCTAGACAGGAATTACAATTTGAAGTTACAACTCAACTAAGGACATCCAATAACTCTATGTGGGAATTGGTTCGTAGTTATTTTGTTCTTTGTTCTTGAAGCACTTGAAACTTGCTTGCTGGATAGTCACGTGAATGAGCTTGTCAAATGTTCAAGTATTTTTTTTACCTCCCTTGAATGCATATATACATGTGTGACATCACTTACAATGATGTAAGCAAGGTAGGTAAAAAGTCTTCCCTGGAAAGTTGACTGCAGCGCTGTTCTGCACTATAGCGTGTGCAGGCAGCAACTTTCCACCTGGAAAGTTTACTTTCGTACAGTCTCCTCGGGAACTGGTAGGGACTTGTTCCCTCAGTTGTTCCTTCCACTTCTGAAGAGTTGAATCATATTCCATGCTAAATCCCAACCTGGAACCTTGTGATCTAGATAGTAAGTTTGTTAGATCATCAAAACATAAAGTAAAGTACTTATAACCAAAGTACTTGTAACCTATCACTAACATATCATCCACATACACTAGGATGATCATAATGTTGCTCCCTTGCTTTTTTGTGAACAAGGAATAGTCTAGATTACTTTGTACAAAACCTTGCTTGATCAGTGCTTCAATTAGCTTCACATTCCACTGTCTGCTAGCTTGCTTGAGTCCATATAAGGATTTGACAAGCCTACAAACTGCTCCTTTATTCTCCCCTTGGCTTGCAAAACCTTCTAGGAGCTTCATGTAAACCTCTTCATAGAGGTCGCCTTGGAAAAAGGCATTGTAAACATCCATTTGATGAAGATGTCAACCTTGAGCAGCTGCCATGGAAATCACTGTTACTATTTTCACCACTGGTAAGAAGGTTTCTTGATAGTCAAGTCCTTCATGTTGATTGTAACCTTTTGCCAAGAGCCTTGCTTTAAATCTTTCTACAGCACCATTGGCTTGATACTTAACCTTGAAGACCCATTTGAAACTTATAGGAGACTTCCCTGGTGGCAGTTGAACAATCTCCCATGTTTTGTTCTCTTTAAGGGCCTGAATCTCTACCTTCATTGCTTCCACCCGGCGTGGATCTTGTGAAGCTTCTGAATAAGTTCTTAGCTCAGTGATTGATGTAAAAGCTGCTAGGTAGTGTTGATAGTGTGGCTTCAACTTAGCATAACTAATATAGTTCTACATAGCATGTGGGATGTTAGGGTCTAGTGTTGTTGCAGCTGTAATGTAGTGTCACGACCCGGATGATATAAGATGGTGATATCATAGTCTTTTAACAGCTCCAACCACCTTCTCTGCCTCAAATTTAGCTCCTTCTGCTTGAACAAGTATTGCAAACTCTTGTGATCCGTGAACACCTCACATGCCACCCCATTAGGGTCTAGTGTTGTTGCAGCTGTAATGTAGTCACTCATCCATACAGGATTCCTTTTATCTATATCTGATATTCTCAAAGGCTCCACATCTGGAACACCAGGTTATGCAGAGGAAGCTAATATGGGCTCCTGAAGTGTATGCGACTCATTTGGAGTAGGGAGTTGATTCAACTCCTCATGGCCAATGTCAATATTCTGCACATGTGGGGTAGCAGGTTGATCTGTCACTTGCACATCCTCAAGAGGAGAAGATGCCTCATCTGGTTCGGCTGCAATAGGAGTTTCTAAACCAGGAAATGCATCATGATAAGAGTCCTCTCGTTCCAAAAATAGATGGTATTGTGATTGCCTCATGTTTTTGAAAGGAAAGACTGTTTCCTTGTAAATAACATCCCTATATAGAAAGAACTTCTAATTAGTTAAATTAAGTAACACATAGCTTTTAGTCACTTCTGAATACCCCATTAGAACAACTGTTATAACTCTTATATCAAACTTGTCATGGTTGTTCAGTTTTTTGGCATAGCAAAGACATCCAAATGTCCTTAAATGCTGCAAGTTGGCTTTGTGTTTATTGAACATTTCATATGGACTTTTACCATTCAAAGCAACTGATGGAAGTCTATTAATGATGTAGACTGCAGTGAGAACACAGTGCCCCCACTACCTCAAGGGAATTCCTCCTTGAAATCTCAAGGCTCTTGCTACTTCTAGTATGTGTCTATGCTTCCTCTCAGCTATTCCATTCTGCTGAGGAGTATAGACACGAGTCTTCTGATGCACAATTCCATGTTGTTGTAAGAGATCACTACACTCATTGTTCAAGAATTCTCCTCTATTATCTGATCTAATTGCCTTGATTGTTCTGTTAAACTGATTCTGTATCAATTTAATGAAGTTTCTCAACACAACCACCACATCACTTTTCAGTTTTAACAAGTACAACCAAGTTATTCTAGAGTGATCATCTACTATGGTAAGAAAGAGTTTATTGCCATCAAAGGCTTGTACATTATAAGGTCCCCATACATCAATGTGCAACAACCTGAAAACTTCACAAGCTCTACTAGTACTGTCTGGGAAAGGCAATCTAATGTGTCTAGCTAACGGGCACACCACACATTTTTCCAACTGACTTCAACAATTATTTTAAGAAAAATGAAAATTTTGACTCAATGACTTCAAAGAGGCATGACCTAATCTATTATGCCAAAGCTCAACATCTTGTTTCTCCTTGTTTGCAACCAAGCTAACCAACTAATTTGCACTATCTTTAGTAGGAGCTTGTGTAAGCAGATATAGTCCTCCTCTTTCCTTACCAATCCCCCTTACCTTCCCACTGCGAAGGTCCTGAAACACACAGAATTCAGGAAAAAATAAAGCTGAGCATCTTAATTCTGTTGTGAGCTTTGATACTGATAGTAGATTATACTTAAAATCTGGGATGTATAGTACATTGCTCACTACTTCCTTATCTGTCAATCTACAAGTCCCTGAATGAGTCACATGCATGAAGGATCCATTAGGTAGATTAACTCTTTTTTCTTTTGAATTTCCTACTTTAATTGTGTTTTCCAACAAACTCAAGTCAGAGGTCATATGATTTGTCGCTCCAGTGTCTATAATCCACTCTTTGTTTTATGATTCTACTAAGAAAGCAGTAATAGCATCATTACCTGCCATGTTGACTGAATTGACTGAGTTTTCTGCTACATTTTTCCTTGACAAGAAGCTTCAGAATTCGATCATACTGCTCTGGTGTAAACTAGGGGCCTCTAGCATCATTACCTGCTCTAATGCCTTCAAAGTTCATACTCTTTCTGCTGTATTAGCATAATAGATGCCCTGTACATCTTGATTCCTCTTATCATTCATAACAACATTGTTAGGTGTAGTTCCTCCATACCTTTTCTTAGGTTTAAAGTCAGTAGGATATCCAATTAATTTGTAGCATTCAACACGAGTATGTCCTTTCATCTTGCAAAAGTCACATTGAACATTGTAGTTCATCTTGCCCTGTTAGTTGAAGCCATACCCAATCAAAAAAGGATGTTATCCAAACGCATTTCAAGTAATTGTAGTAAAACTTGACCTGTTGTGCATATTCCTTCCCTTAGTGATCATCAATGCATTCATTTCTACATTATCTACTACTGCCATGGTGTTTGTCATGCTCCGCTGACTCTCTCTAAATCAGCATCGAGTAAACCTTGTTCACAGTTGGTACGGGAATCATCACTAGGATTTGGCTACGAGCTTGCTCATATGATTCATTCAATTCCATCAGAAAGTGCAGCAACTTCTGCCTCTTCATAAACTCCACATAATTACGAGATCTAGGGCAATCACATGGAGATGGATCTAGGGCATCAAACTCATCCCACAGCAAGCGTAATTTTGAAAAATAAGTAGCAACACTAGTGGTTCCCTGAGTCACAGACGCAATTTGTTTGTGAAGCTGAAATACTCGAGATCCATCAATTTTGTCGAATCTCTCCTTCAAATCACTCTAAACTGCACTATCACTTGATGAATACACTATTCCACTGAGCAATTGAATTGAAACGCAATTCATTATCCACGACAACACAATCGCATTGCATCTCTCCTAAAGATCAGTCAGATTCGCACCAAACTTCTCCTTCCTGCATGTTCCGTCGATGAAACCTAGCTTGTTACGACCTAGGATTGCAATTGTCGTCACACGGCACCACACTGAGTAATTTTCCGATCCTGTCAGTTGTAGAGAGATCAACACAGTCCCTGAATTAACGATAGAATTGAGGAAAAGAGGATGATTATGGCTCAATTTCTCCCGTACTTCATTGTCTATATTTGTCGCTATGTTTCTCACAAACTTCGTGTGTAATCAAGCTTAAATTTCAGATTTTCTGCTTAAATCCAACCCCAAAGTATCATACACAACAGCCCATTTTTAACATATAACCACACCCTTAAACTTGATTAGAGAAAAAAAGAAACAGATATATAGAGAACCTTCATCACCCTTTAAGTGAAAAAAGAAAAGGGATGAACAAAAAGTTACATTAGATATTACTATTCCTAATTATTTCAATTTCAGAAAACTCAAAACTTTGGGAAACAAAACACAATTCTGTGTCGTAGAAGAAAGCTCATACAAATCAGAATCCTCAAAATCCTCTTCTTCAAATATTGTCTCTAGCTGAGGAGAAACTGAAATCCTATAGGGTGAAATTAGAACCGCAGGAACAGCAACTTCCATCCAAGATTTTGGATTCTCACTGAACTTGGCCATTTTTGCAAAAAAATAGCAAGAATGAGGCTATGGAAACAAATTCTAGAGAGGTTCACTGTTCAATCTTGGCTATTTTGAGAAAAATTTGTGGGATTTGGGAAAGACTGCAGAGTATGAGGGACTTATATATAGGTGAAGAAATAGAAAATTTTGGGTGAGGTGTCGGTCGAAAGACAGAGGAAATATACCTGGATTTGATTTATTTGTCTTTTTCTATAATTGTTGGATGTAACCTAATTTCCAAGTAAAGACGAGCATCATGTGGGAAATGCTCACACGGCTTTGCATATTATTTTTGAAAAATAACTTTATAGCATTGTCTACGTCACATTAATTAATTTTAATTAATACAAGAAATATTTCTTGTATAGTCAGACTTCTCTATAACAATAATATCCTTATATATATACATCACTTTTCTATAAAAGCCAAATTTTTCCGAATCAAATCTCATGTTCTATTATAATATATGTTTTCTATAACAGCAAACCGCTATAACATCCAAAAATATCCGGAACAATCGAGGTTGTTATAGAGAGGCTTGACTGTATTATGTGCTTTTATCACATAAGTAAGGTTAAGCGAGTTTTTCAAGAAATTATTTAAGGGTTTGATACTGAACCTATTTGATTGAGTATGAAGTTTAAAAAGAAATAAAGATTTTTAAAATTTGTAATTCTAGACAAGCCATAAAACTTGTTTAGAATGTACTCTCTCCGTTCACTTTTATTTGTCCAATATTTTAATAATAGATTTTCAATTTTACTTGTCCACTTCACATATCAAGAGAAAAATAATTTATTTTTTCTGTTTTGCCCTTAGCATTAATTACTCATTCCAAATTATTTTTCACATCCATTAAGACTATACACTGATTAGTATGGGTATCAAGGTCAATTATGCATTTTATTTATTATTTTTTAAGGGGTGTGCAAAGTCAATATTGGGCAAGTAAAAGTGAACGGAGCGAGTAATAGGAAGGCAGCTTATCATTTTGAACGTACGTAGCTTTGTATTATTTAGATGTGAGGAAAAATTAATTATAAGAAGTACGTTCATCCGTTTATAGTATAATTTTTTTCCCCCTCATAATTTAACTTGACTAGCCACACTAGTTATCCAACTTTTTCCAAATCATCAACCCAGGTAGACACTCTTAAAAAGAAAAATCATATTTTAGTTTTGAGCGAGCCAAAATTTTCTTTAAAAAAAAGGTATTGGACTTAACAAGTCTTAAAAAGATGTTGAAAACTTTAAGAGCTCGTTTGGAAAGCCACCTTGGAAATAAATTTGGGTGTAATTGTGTGTAATTATACAGTTTGGCATGTTTGTTTGGCTAAGTAATTACTTGGTCAGCATAAAATTGGGTATAATTGGAGGGGTGTAATTATACTCTCCAATTCTCAAGGGGGGAGGTGAGAATTGGTGGTAATTACACTGTGTAATTGCAAGGTTGCCTTTAGTTTCTTTCCTTTTTGTTTTTATTTAATTTATTTTTTTTATAACTTTTTGTTTTATTTTTTATTTTTTTAATTTTATCTTACTTTTTAATTTCTTTTGAAATTTTAAAATATATTTTTCTTTGTACATTATTTATCTTTTATTTCTCTATATTTATCTTGCGATTCCATGTAATTGCTTATATTTTATTTTTTATTTATTTTATTATTCTATTTTTTTAAACTACACCCTCTAATATTAGAAATAATGAGTCATTAACAAACTTGACATATAATCAGTGATGCAATTAAAGTGGAATTTTGTTGTTGAATTTGTTTATAAACTTATCATGTTTCCTAATTATTAAGTTGCACTGGAACTTACTATTATTATGTTGGAATTTGACATATGTTAAATTATTTTTATTTATTTTTTGAATTTTGAAATTGTGTTATATTCATGGTTTCAATTTACTTGTTTTAGTAGTATTGGCTCACATTGCATGTTGTTCATTTTTTAGTTAGAATTGATAGATTAGTTTTGTCAAACATTTGAATAATGTTATGACATTATATTTGTAAATATTAATTTATTTTATCAAACATGAATTCCATGATGTTCTTACAAAACGTATATTTTATTTTTGTAAGTATCTAAACTAAATATTATTAATTATAAAAAGTATATACATTATTTTTACAATATTAGTTATAAATATATGATTACTAAATTAATGTATATTCACGAAAAATATACTTCTTAAATACAAAATATAATATCATTTATACTTATAAAAATTTATAGGCTATATTTATTATATTTCCTTTTAAGTTGTGATAATTACTTAATTTGAAATTTAATCTAACTGTGTCATTACACTTGTGCAACCAAATAGTAAACTTGTAAGTACACTGTAATTTCACTATAACAAACAAACATATCGTCGTAATTACACAACCATGTAATTACTAGGATGTGTAATTACTACCCTAGTAATTACACCAATTCCAATACCATCAAATGCTGAATCACTAAACCACCCAACGGAATATAAGAGAAATTAATCCAAATACCATCAAATGCTGTTAATATTCTTAAGCAATAATGGTTCACTACATGTAAATGAAAGAAAAACTATTTTTTTAATAAGAAAATGTACATGAATGGATTAAATGGCATATAATTCAGCTTATGCAGCTATATATCCCTCTAGCTAGATATCCACACAAATACATTTCTTGAATCTGCAATGGAGGGATAAAATTTCAACCTCTCAAAGAGAAAAACACTAAGTACATGAAGCCATAATTTCAAATCATATTCCATGATTGCGTCGTTGCCATTGAAGGGGGAAGAATAGATGTTGTGTATCATCGTCGCAACCCTCATTGATCTCTTCTCTAATGGTCTCCAATCCTGGTGTATTTGAAGGTTTTCTTCGATAGCTGGTTATAAGTGCAGGAGCAACCTCCATCCAAATACGCACATTTCTAGTTTCTCTTGCCATTTTTTCTTTTTTTGAATGGAAAATCCACGTGAAAGCCAACTAAAAATAGATTATATCAATCAAATAATAAGTTGGATTTGCTCTCTTCTCCCTTGGCTTTAGGAAGAAAGAGAGATGAGAAAAATGAGTTGTTCTTTGAGAAAGATAAACTCTTTTATTTTTATTTTTTTAATGAATTGAGAAGGAAGTAAATGCTTCGGAATTTATAGATGTGGTAGCTAGGAATTAAGGGGGTGAGAATAGGCAAATGCTAGAAACAAGGACAATTAAAGCTTTATTTGTGGTTGTTGAATATGTCAATTGTGAGACTTTTTGTGGCTCCCCGTTTGAAATGGATCACCTTACACATATTGAGGTAGGTGTTAATTAATTCATAACTTGTTCCGATGAATAATCTAAAGGCCTTCTAGAACAATGGACGAAATATGTCAACCCTTGTAACAGTCATAACGTGAATATAGCACGGCTAGCCAGTTTTCGGACTAATAATTGAAAAATAGTCAGTGTTTGCAAAGTCATTCAAAAATAGTCACTATTTTGCTGCAACATGGAAAGTTCCAGCATAATATATTGGAGATTGGTGCACTTGTGTATGAACTTCCAGCATACTATGCTGGAACTCCAACACACGGAAAATTCTATCATAATATACTGGAGATTGGAGCACCTATGTATGAACTTCCATCATATTATGCTGGACATGTATATTATACTGGAACTCCAATATATTATGCTGGAATATTTTTCGAATTTTGAACAGTGTTTTCGTTCAAATTTATCTTTACATAAAAAATGGCTACAATTCGATTACTTTTGAAACTGTGGCTATTTTTCAACTACCACTTGTAAATCTGGCTATTTTTGAATTTCTCCCATCTTGCCTTAAAGTTTACAGGGAGAAATTTAAAAATAGCCAGATTTACAAATGGTCGTTCAAAAATAGCCCAATTTTAAAATTAATCAAAATTTAGCCACTTTTTATGTAAAGATAAATTTGAGCGAAAACACTGTTCAAAACCCGGAAAATATTTCAGTATATTATGCTGGAGTTCCAGCATAAGTATACTTGAACTCCAGCATATTATACTGGAGTTTCAGGATAGTATGCTAGAACTCCAGCATAATATGATGGAGTTCCAGCATAAGTACACTAGAACTCCAGCATAATATACTGGAGTTCCAGCAAGTATATTGGTCCAGTGTAATATACTGGAGTTTGGAGCACCAGTGCTCCAGTCTCCAGTATATTATACTGGAACCGGCAAAGTATACCGGTCCAGCATAATATGCTGGAGTTCATACACAAGTGCACCGAACTCCAGTATATTATGCTGGACCGGTCTCTATTGCAGCAAAATGGTGGCTATTTTTCATTGACTTGGTAAACGCTGGCTATTTTTGATTGACCAGTCCGAAAACTGGCTATACTGTGCTATTTTTACAAGTTTACACAAGCTACTACAATACAAAACCCCAATGGCAAATATCAGTCAACAGTTGATGAACACAAAAATATTTGGGCCAAAGGCTTAGATGACGTTGGGCCAGAAAAAATGTAGCATGAGTTTGTGCAGGACATTACACCTAATGTCTTCAAAAATGGAAGGTTTTGATTTTTTGATCCCCTCTTGTTTCATGGGCAAATATTTAAGGTCAAAAGTCAAAAGTTTTTTTCGTGGGGCAAGCAAGAGGGGCAACTTGTTAACTTGAAGTTCTCCCCATGAGGCAAGCAGCGTAAAAAAAAACAAGAGTAGTGCCGAAGTATCTTATTTGGGAAAAGAATCATCCGAGTTAGTGGCTACAAAGCCCATTCCATCCTATTGAAAAACTGAGTTGGGCTGGTTATGATTAAAGCCTTTTCCATAAACCCCCATTGGCAACGACCAAGTGGATACTGTAGACTATTGAATACTAACGCATTTGATACAAGAATGTAGAATCATCACTAAATGTGATAATAATCCATCAACAAAATGGTGAGCACGAAATTAATAGTTTCGAAAGCACAATACCTTCAAATGCATCAGAATCCTTCTAATAACACGATGATTTCCATTTGTTCTTGTGCTCATGTGTATGTCATCTTTATGAATTCGGGCAACAGGCTCCGGATCTCCCAAAATTTTATGGGCCCATCAGAAATAACCTAATAAATAATAGTC